AAAAATGAAAGTTATACAACCTAAAAAAAACAACGAAAACTTTGGTACTATTACAAAGCAGAATAAACAAGCTGGAAAAGTCAAAGAACAAATGAAGCGGAAAACAGCTAGCAGAGGTTTTTTAAGATGAAAAATTGAAAAAAGTTACAAATTTTGCATCAAATTAACTAACGCACTTGAAATTTTCATTAAAAGGTATCCGAGCTGTGCGACAGTTGCGCTTCCGGGCAGCACCCAGTGGTAGTCGATTATCACGTCCTAAGCATATTACATACACTCTGTCATCCAATGGAGCTCGGAGAACATGCTGCGACCACCTGTAAAAGAACTCATTTTTGAATAAAAATGCTTTTGAGGTATAATACTGAACGATAATTTACACACTGTGCCAATCCACAAATTCAAATGTATGGAGTCTGAGGAAAGCAAAAGAATGGTATCAATGGAAAAGTTGCCAGTTGCAGAGATGAAAATTCAAATTAACAGCTTTTCCAGGTATTCCAGGTAACAGACACACACAACGAAGGATAAATCATCAACGCGGAGGAAGGAAGCATCGGAAATTCTTTACGGAATTAAGCGGATGAGAGAGGCGCAAAATGCAGAAGAATAGAGAAGCTGTCAACTGTAGCATCGTTTTCGCAAAGGAAGAAGCGATAAAATAGTAAAAGTTCGAAAAAAATAAAAAATGCTTTAAGTTCTGCTGGTAATGAAGAACTGTAAAAAGAAGATGGGAACCTGGCAATATAAACGAGATCTTCCTTGTCGTAAAAATCGAGCACATCTTTATTTGTATGCATTGGTAGGATTGTTTGATGCTGATATTTCATACGTAGAAGTCTAGAAAAAACAGAAATGAGTGTTTTCTTGCTACAACGGTTCTTAATTATACTTTTTTGCAAGAAATTTCCATACTTTTTTCTTAAAAAATCGAAGACAGGATAGAATGAAAACAAAATGATTTAATTTCAAGATGCTGTTAAGATGAAATTACGAAGATGTGGCAAGCTGAGGGGCAAAAAAAAAACGAAATTGTCAGCTGCATTGATGCGAGGAAAAAAAATAACATTGACAGGTCAAGGTTAAAAATCAGGGAAATATACTATTCAGAGAATGTAAGATGATTTTTTTCACCTGGTAACAGCAGCACAGTTCGGATTCTCCTCATCGTAGTTTACAATCGACAAATCGAACGGATCTCTACGTCGTAGGTTTTCCTGAAAAAGACCGGTTTTTATTGCCATTTTCAAAGGATGTAGCTGTTCAGGAGTTGTTTATTGCTGGGCCAATGCGAGAAAGTAAAATCCGATGGGCAGACTGTACTGCTCGACGGTCCATGCTGTGCATTAGCAATTATACCAGGCTTTTCGGGTTTTTTTTCCAGTAATATCAAAAAAAAGCTTACTTCAATGATAAATTCAAGTTGAGTGGCAAGACGAGAAGAGAAATCATCGAACTCTTTCGCAATAAATTGACAGTCTATGACGATTCGTGGCTTTTCGTTTAGACGCAAAGTTTTCCATGCTGCTGCTCCCTGGATATGCTTAATTCCTAGAATCAAAAAAAAAATTATTTTTAAAATATTTTCAAAAATTACTTCAGATTGAAATATCCGGCAAAGCAATTTCTAAACATGATCCCTTATTCTAGCCTTCAGTTTATCTCCAGTAAAAATAACATCTCCAAACCACTAAAGCCTTGGCAAACCACTTCTATCTGAGGAGTCACTGAGCTGGTAATCCCTTCAGAAGATGAAATGAACACCAAAATCGCTAGGTTTAGGTCGACCATCAGGCAATGCAGCATTTTTCGGGACAAACGAAAGTAAGAGATATTCTTGGAAGCAACAAATCGTGCAGCTTACTCCGAGCATTGCGTGATGGATTCGAAGTAACCAATTCATACATCATTGGCCCGTAGCCCATTGCACCCGATTCAAACCTGGCACGCTAGAAAAACACACATATACATGTAAATTTAGCTAAACAGCCGTTTTTTTAGCAGCAATATTAAAAATTCTCATTTTGCTGGGTCAATTTTTTAAAAATACTAGGCTCCTCGCAGAAAAAAAAACATCTGTAGCAATTATCAAGATCGCCTGAACAGCGCGAAGTTTCGCCATTAGTGATGGCATGCATTCCTCGTCTCTCTGGTGCATGTTTCCACTTAAGTA